TATTATGATCAGTCCACTGCCACCACCACTGCGACCAGGTGGAACTGCGCTGCTGCTCACCTCCTTCACAGCCAGATCAGGAAGCATTTGTGGTAGGAGCATGTCCTTCACAGTATCTCCAAAAAACAGAGGCACATAGGGCAGGTGGAACTGTCCTGCAATGTCTTGCGTACCTCTGATTTTAGGAGGCTTATCAGATATGGGTGAAGGCATGCCATTTCTGCTGCAGATCTTCCTAGTTCAGATCCAGCATGCTTCCTGAAAAAAGGGTCATGCGGTGCAGTTCTGCCTGGTGGCAGCAGCATCTATCTCCAGGGTGCCACTACCAGGGAGGTCTTACAACAGTACTGTGGTTGAGGACCGTGTGTATTAGCTGTGATTTTTCTTAGCAGCTTGGCTTAGGAGAGGGATATGATGCAGCAACATTATATGTGATGTTTAATATTAATCTCTAACAGTATTTAGACATTCCAAGACTGTTTTGGCTGTTTGAAGTATAATGAGGATATTACAGTGTTTGTCAGTACAAAGCATATGATTCTGTGCACAAGTCAGTGTGTTGTTCATTTGCATGGCAGTCATATGAATAGGGTACTGGACTGGGATTTAAAGGTCTGGAACAAAGTCCTGGCACCACTTATGTCAACAGGAAAACTCCCATTGACTTCAGTGGGGCAGCATTTTACCTCCAAATCCTTTTCACAGGCCTGCACCTGATCTGCTGGGCACCTTAGGCAGCAGGTTCATTGAGATCTCTGTGCTGCTTTCCTTTCTCATGCTTTGTCTGTCTTGTCTATTTAAATTGTAAGACCTTTGGAGCAGGGATTGCATCTCTCTCTACTTGTAGGTCAGGGATCACATCTCTCTGTGTTTGTACAGTAGCAGGGTCCAGTTCTGGTCAAGACCTCTAGGTATGGATGTTTAATGCAAATAAATAATAGCAGCAATATAAGCCTCAAAAAGGGGGGAAGGGGTTCATTGTTAATAACACTTGTGTGCATACATGCACACATGCACATACACACAGAGGAATAATGGATCAAAGATTGAGGCACTTAACCTAAGACTCTGAAAATCCCTGGAGTTCAGCTCAGACTTCCTGTGTGATGCTGGGCAAGTGACTGAAGCCCAGATACTCCCAGACACCTAATTCCCATTGAAATCATACAGAGGGGTTTGTTCCCTACATACTTTTGTGAATTTGGGGCTGAAACCCTATCTGTTTTTAAAAGGTTTGATTGTTCTACCTCCAACTATCTGGGCAACCTCCTCCTGCTCCCCACCTCCCTCCAGTAAATCACCAAGGAAGTTCCTTTGTTAGGATAGCTTCAGACAGCTTCTTGAGTAAGGATATTTTTGTGAGGGCATTTTTCCAAGAAAAATGTGTTTATATGAAGTTTACCTACAGAGCTGTGTCAGTAGGGGTATGGTTGTACTATTATTTTTTTTATTATTATTATTTTATATTTTATTATGTTGTTATTATTTCACTATTTTTATGTTTCTCACCGTGATAACTATACCCAGAAATCTTTAAGTGTAAACTAAGCCTTGATCTCTGACTGAGTATATCACGCTGCTCAACCAGAGTGCTGCAGCATCCTGGGGTGTCATGAGATCCTTTTAAGGATACTGTGCAGTGCCACACATCATTAGCACTATTGGGTATGCAACATGGTTCCCAGGATAATAAACCCAGAGATTTCAAATAGGAATCCATACTGTCAACATCTGTCCTGTTGCAGTCTTTCTGCTTTCTGTGCAACAGGAGAATTGCTCTATTATTTTTCTGTTGTCAAAAAACAAATGGAAGTGAAGAGTTGTTTTTTTCTGAGTGGTGTCTTGAGTCTAACAAGATTGAGAACCACTGGTTTGCATAATACAATTCTCAATACCTAAGCTAGCTCAGGTGCCAATAGCAGTACCGTTGCATCTACATGGTGCTTCATCTGGATGAACAGACCCTGCCTCTTACAATGTGGATATCTACATGGTACTACATTGGGTATTCTGTGCCTCAGATCTCCATGTGTGAAATGTAGACCATAGTAATTCCCTACTTCTGAGCTGTGTTGCAAAGACTGAGGATGTTCTTTTGTTACAGAAATTAGGACAGAAAAGATAACTGAGATAAGGGCAATCCATGCTCTGAAGAGTGCTTGCATTGTGTTCCTAAGGCATGAGTTTTATTTCATGTATGCAGTCTCAGAGGTGTCTGTGCAATGGGAAATCAGTACCACAGAAATAATGAATCCCGCATTAGGCCTGTGCGAAGCGGCTAGTATTCGCTCTGGATTCAGATTTGGCCAATTCGGGGGAGAGTGATTCGATTCACTGTCCCAGTTCAATTTGGGCAAATCTGATTCGGAGATTCGGCTGCTGCCAAATCTCCGAATCAGCCAGGCCCACCCCCCGCCCCCCTCCCAGCCTGGCAATGGCTGACCTGCCTGCCCCAGCTCCTGGCACTTGATAAAAAAACAAAAGCCCTGACTCAGCGGGTGGTGGGGGGCAATCCCTGAGTTATCAAAGGGTTGGAGTGTGTTTTCTTTGGCTCTGAAGGAAGTAGATTAGTTTTGGGTGGTGTTATGTCTTTTATCTGATCAAAACCTTTTCACAGTGCACATGAAAGCCAAGAGAAGAACAGTTCCCTCCTCCTAAAGATGGGAGAGAGCAGTTGTTGAAATTTGGTTAAAATGTTTGTCAGATTTGAAATCTCTGAAATGTAAAGGGGACTTTCAGGCAGAGACTACCTGATGTTTAGAAAATATCCCTGGAGAGCAGTGAAGTTGCTTGGCTGCCAGAGGCCTCAGACTTTTTGCTCCATGAACATAATAGGAACCTCTTAGTGACTGGAATAAAAGAACAAGCTGGAAGGCAATAAAGTTTTTTATCTGATTTATACCAGAAGTCACCTGCATGGGAACAATAACCCGTAACTTAATTTGTTTATCTGCATTTCCCTAGTTTCTAAGATGGAAATGGCTACCTGAACAGGGCACCTTATGTTTTGTGTGCGGTGTTCCTAATTAAAAGCCTGACCCAAAGCACACTTACAGTGAATAGAAACACTGTCACTGATTTCACTGAGCTTTGGATAAAAGCCTAGATTTGCAGCTGGAAGACCTTTCAGATCTTTGTTTTTCTGAGGGGAATAAAGATGAGTTTTTCAAGGAAAAATTAAATGAACAGAGCAAATCAGAAGAACAATCCCCAGAAAAGTAGTCTGGTAATCTGGGAATCTCTAACAATGTGCAACTAAGCAATAGCTTAGAAAGAAAAAAAAAAGAAATTTCTTCCCAATCACAGCCAACAAGTGGGTAGTTTATTTACTGAAGCACGAGGGGCAATTTATTCAAATATTGTATCCTAACTGATGCAATTGTGGAATCTAACCTTTCATTGTTTGGGGGTGCGGACCCCCTGGGACACCTGTATTTAACCCTATTGAAGAAATTTCCTCAGTAAGATATTGTGGGATGAGATTCATGGATTAATTAAGAACAGTGTATTTTTAAAGCAGTATTTCTTTGCATTACTCTAGTTTTGACCTAGTAAAGACTGCAAAAGCAATGCTCTTTGTTTTATAGCGCCTCTTCCCAAATGTAATTGTCCAGCCCTGAAAACCTGACTGAATTTACACATGAGGACCTTCGTAGTCCTCAGTAGAATTCACATACATAGGATGCTTTTGGGGCTTGAGGCTACAAACAATTTATTCTCCATCCCTGGCTCCCCAGCTTATTTTTCATCTTCTCTACTTGGGGAAAAAACAGAGATTTTAATTCCCAAAGGCATTTTAGAATATTCCCCAGCAGACCTATCTTTCATCTCCTTTTTGCCAGTGCTTCTGTTTTGTTTTGAAGTGCTTGTATATTGAAGGAGTGTATTTCTAATTACGTTCTTATTGTGTCACTTTTGTTCTTATTCTTTTGTACAGCAGAGTGCTTAAGGAAATGTGTAGGGGGATAGAAAGCCTAATACATAACTAAAACAAGATATTACTTATGCTGGCTGGTTGATGGTGGGTCTTCTGGTAGTTAGTCATTAGGGTTGAGTGAAGTCTTTCTCAGAAAGCAAAGTTGTAAGGGTAATGGCTTTGTCACATGGGACACATCACCTGTTTTGTATAGATTATAGTGAGCATTACTGTACTGCATTCAAAGTTCGAATGTGTTCTGAGCAGTCTCATGGTAATGCTTACTACAATTTCTAATGTGATTGCTGACAAAATCTCTAATGTGAAGCATGCTGATTGTTGGTCACAGCCCTGGCATCACACTGGGAGCCAGTTCAAGGGTCCCATGCAGTGCCACTGCTGATTGTAAGTCCCAGCCCTAACACTGCAATAGAGCCACTTTAAGAGTCCACTGTAGTGCTGGAGTTGGCATCAGCAATCAGCAGCTGTGCTTGTATTATCTGCACGGAGCTGTCCTATGATGGATGAACACGTGTTAATATGACCAGGAGATACTCCTTCCATCAAAAGTCCTGAGTTTGCTATGATACAACGACACTTGACACTCTTTTTAATCCTTGAATTTGCAAACTCTTACATTTTAAATGCAGTTAAGTGTAACGTGTTGTGGTCTTTTGCATAGTTATTGCTTCAATAACTTAGCCAAATGAGGACTTCAATTCCCTGATGTTTATAGGAACTATATTTGTTTCTGTGAAACTATTCCTATTGTTTGTGGTTGAGATAAATCAGGATGATTTATCCTCTTGGTCGGTTTGCTGAGTTTTGTTTAGTCCCTTCCTCCCTCCCCAAATGCTTTGAGTTTCCAGTCCTGCAGAAAGTAGTCTAGAGCAAGTTAAATCCTCCACCCAGCCAGTTAACCAGAGATAGCAGAGTTGAATACTAGTGGCACATCAGGCTGGGTTCTTCTTTCTTGCCATAGATGGGTTAGCTTTGTTTGCTGGGTAAGTGTGGGGAGATTTGAGACTGAGAACAAGCCAAGTGTTATTCTGTGAAGTCAATAATTACTGTTCCTTCCCTTCAGTTGCAGGGAAGCAGATAACAAGTCCCAGAAGCCCTTATCATCTGGAATGGAGAATGACAGAGTTTTCAATGACCTCTGGGGCAAGAACAACATGCCTGTCGTCCTTAACAATCCCTACTCGGAAAAGGAACAGGTAAGTGCTGTGCTCCCTGTGGGTGCCCTTCGTGAAGGAATAAGCATAGGAGCATCAGGTGAGCTGCAGCCTGATTTTCATGTACAGTCCAGTTCCATGTAGAAAAGGCCTGGTGCTAGATGAAGATTAGAGGTTTGGCTTGTGCATGGGGCTTCATTTAAAGGTGCCAGCCTGGAAGGGATACAGAAGAAAAGAGCATGTTGGAGGAGCAGATACAGCTCCTCAAGGACTTCACTGGCAGATAGGAGAGCTCAGGCTCTTGCAGGCCTATACTGTGCTGCAGTAGAGGGACTGCAGATGGGCTACCGCACAGTGAGTGGTATTCCTTAATAGCTGTATTAATAAACCAATTATAAGACTTCTGTCTCTTCAAAGCTGTGACCATGTGTGAGATGACTTCTTGACTAGAGCTAACACAGGGGGAAGTCAGCAGAGCATAAGGAGCCCTGAACTGTTCCTTTTGATTGAGTCCATGTAGGAGCAGTATTTTCAGGAAAGTATGCCCAAGTCTTCTCTGACCATAGTAAAGCAATGGCTCAGTTGTGATTACCTCTGTGTCTACACGTGGCCATATTCTGTACAGTTAACCCAGTGCACAGGACTGTCCCTGTGGGGGAGCGAATCGGGGCAACTGTCCCAGACCCCACGCTTTGGGGGCCCTGCAAAGCTGAGACAACTTTGCATCCAGCCACTTGCCACCCCCCTGCTGCCGTGTCTGGGCTCTGCACAGGTTGATTTGCCTTGGGTCCCGCACCCTTCCCCGGTCATCTCTGCCAGTGCAGGCCCATTTATTTCAGTGGAATCAACCAAGAAGATGCTACAGCCCATCAAGTCCAGAAGCCAATTTCTGTGGTGCCCTATGTGCTTGGCTCCAGTGGAGGAGCTGCAGCTCACACTGAGTGCAAGTCTCCAAAGCAGTTTTCTTTGTACACACAGTTCAGACTTCTGCCCTTTTAGTGATGTGGATTGTTTGCTAGCATGAAACAGGATTTCCAGGAAATGTGCAGAGTGGTGCCTAAAGATAAAGCAGACCTAGCTTCAGCTTTAAAAACTCCTCTACGGAACATAGTGCTTCCTGGCCGGATCCAGGCATGCAAGCATGTGCAGTTTGTGGCACTGCAGACCTCTTTGTGGTGCCACAAACAGCATGTCTGGCATGTTAAATGTGTCCGCGGCTGAAAATTTGCAACACAGGGGCAAAATTTGCTACCGGGAAATCCTGGTAGCAAAAAAAACCCCAAAAAAACCTATGAAAAAAAGTGGTACACGCCACAGGAGCGTGTGCTGGAAGACACAGAGGCTCAGTCCTCCCCTCCTCTAGTCCTGCCCCAGCTCCTCCAGCACACCAGGAACCAGAAGGAGAGGAGAAATGGGAGTTTCCCCAAAGTGGGGTATTTTGCCACTCACAAAAGCACATGTGCAGGGGCATGTGCAGTGACAAAAAACAGCAGCACAATTTTGTGCCGCTACTTTTTTGCTGATGCAAGAGCACACTCCTGCTTGTGGGGACATGCCCTCTGAGGGCTAAGAAATGTTGCTCAGCATATTTCTATGTTAATCTGTCTCCTAGCACTTTGCAAGTAACCATTCATTCTCACACCACCTTGCTGAATATGTATTATCCCTGGGTGAGCAGAGAGGGCAAAGAAGAAAAGCAATCTTTTCATCTTCTCCAAGTCAGTAGGATCACACCAGATATGTGGTAGTGAAGATTATGGCTTCTGGACTTTTTGGGTTAGGTTAATTTCTCAGATGGGACAGGTGTCACAAGCAAGGTTGGAAATTGAGAACTCCTGATGCCTAGCCCAGCACTCAGTACTTTGCCCCATCTCCTTGCTCTAATTAACTGTAGATCACATGGTAAAGAACAAAACCCAAGGGGAAAAACAGGTTCACATTCAACCAAAGAATCAGAGAGCCTTTGATATTGCCTCTGTCTTGACTCTAAGTTCCTGAAATAAAAGTGGCCTTGGCATATGCCGCTTCCTGGCTAAGAACAACCTGCACTGTACAAACTCTTCTCTAAAGCTAGGGACAGGCATTCAAAAAGCCAGTGGCTGAACTGATTCAAACTTTGAAGGTTAGTCTAACCTGCCTATGCTGAACTAGTTTGTAACAGGACAAACATGCTCTCTGGACTGAGGCAATGTGGGCACATGCCTGTAGTTGCTCAGGCTAGGTGCAGGGGGTGCTAGAGTCAGGCACTTACTGGGGGCAAAAGCCCCTGTCACACTGTGGGGGAGAGCGAGCCCCTTCCTGGTAAGGGGCTGAGCTGTGGGCTCAGGCTGCGCATGGCAGCACCGGGCTGGGGCAGCACTAGGCCGGGGCAGCACCGGGCAAGCCCCCACAGCTCGTCTCCAGGAAGGGGCTCGCTCTCCCCCACAGTGTGACAGGGGTTGCCACCCCAGTAAGGGCCCTGCCCCCTCCTGCTGCAGTGGCAGGGACAGAGCATGGCCAAGCAGGGCCCGGGGCTTGGGGGCAGGGCCAGAGTTATTCCTTCTCACTCCAGCATCCAGCCTAGTCAGGGGCCTATTCTGGCCAGGGAGCCACCCAGCTGCCAGTGCGGTAGAGGGGAAACTAACTAACTCTGCTTCCTGCGCCCCTCGGCCTCCGGGGCCATGGTGCCCCCCTGCTGCAGCAGCGAGTGGGGAGTGTGGGCAGACCTGGCTTGAGTCCCTGCCGGTGCAACAGGGAGCGGGGATTAAACCCCTCTAGCCAAACCCCTGCCCCTGCTGGGTGCTGCAGAGAACCCCGCCCAGAGAGCATGCTGGGATGCTGGGGGAGTCTGGTTTATTTCAAACTGGCAAAGGTTCTGGAACAGACATTGCCTAAACTGGTTTATCTCAAACCAGTTTCAGCCATTTTGAAATAGGTTTATGTGCACTGAATGTCCATTCTGTTACAGGTTTAAACCAGTTTCTGATCACTTAAACTGGTTTATGTGTAATGTCTGTCCCTGGCCTATGAGATTGCTTTGCAAGTGTTGATGTGCTTTCTTTCCCTACCTGAATTTTCCTTCTCACTTGGCTTCAGACTACTCTTCCCAGCTCAGTTTTTATTAATATGATATGTCCTTATTTATGGGATCCCAGTCAGGATTAGCCCATGTTGTACAAGGTACAGTATTCACATTAGGGCTGTGTGAAGCTTTGGGTGGTGATTCAATCTGGAGGAAATTCAGCCCAATTCAGTGGCCAAATCTCTGAATCCAAATCAAATCAGGGGACCAATTAAAAGGTCTGAATTAATTCAAAGGTCTCTGAATCTTTGGAAAAGGTTTTCAGGGCTTTGATGATTTGGGCAGTCCCTGGTGGCTGCAACGGGAAGCTGCAGCCATTCCGACCTGGAAAGTAGGGGGTGGCAGAGAGGGGGGCTGGGGGAGGGAAGAGGGGACCATGGGGGGACCCCTGCCAGGCCCCATCCCCTGCCTGCTCCCCCAGCCATCCTATGGCTACCCTTCCTGTCCCAGCTCCCAGTGCTTAAAAAAAAAAGCCCCAACTCACCGGCTGCTGCTGCGTGGGGGACAATCCCCGCTGCCTTCCACTGCCCCATGCTGCATGGGGGGCTCTGCCACAAATCCCCCAACCCCTTCTCCACTCTCCCAGCCCCCCCTTGGCTCCAGCCCTTTAAGAAACCTCCCTCCCCAAAACCCCTGGACTCACCAGCTTCTGCCGTGGCCTCAGATTTGGGACAGTGATTGGACTCGCCGAATCGAGTCACTGGCCCCCGAATTGGCTGAATCAGAATCTGAAGCGAATACTAGCTGCTTCGCACAGGCCCAGCAAATACGTTCACTGGACACGGGGTGTCATTCTTACCAGAGATCAGGAAACTGAAGGAATTATCTAACCAGACCCCAGTCCTGTAATACTGTGTCAATAAGCACAAAACTAAGTAATCCGTGGATGCTTCCAAGGAGGACATTGATTCACTCTAACAACAGTATGGCCAGAACTGGAGAGCAATGCCTTATGTATCCTGAGTATTTGCAAAGCCGGTTTATCAATCCAGTGAAACAGAAAAGGCAGCATTAGCTGTTTAGCT